CGAGGTATTAAACGTAGAGAGTGGGGATCGTGCGCAGGGTATTATTACGCGGGGACTCGTAATCTTTCATGGCAGGGAAGGTCCCGGAGATGATGCAATACAGTCCATATGGTTATATTGTCTCCATGCAACAGTGAAGAGGAGAATAATGAGGAGAAAGGAGGGAGCGGCATGAGGGTGGGCTTCACACAGCAAGTGGACAGAACAATGGCGCTTAAAGAGTTGGATGGAGAAGTTGCGATAGTCGAGGGGGAATTCGACGTAGGGGAGCGGGGAGAACGAAAGGTAATCAAGAGGGCAGCGGAAGACATGAAGTGGAAAAAGCGCTCGAGTGGGGAGAAGGACGGTGTGGAATCGCGGAGGGGGCTGTAGAAGAGGGAGATGGTGAGCGGGACCGCGGCGATGGCAGGAGGATTTCGCTCCATTGTGGCGACTAGATGCTTGTTCAGGCAGATCAGGATTCCACGCGGAATTTGCTGGTATGGTTGGTCGTGAGCTTGTTGGCGGTATGGTGTTGGAGTTAGGATAACTCCTCGGGTTGCTGTGTCGGTGGCTCGTCGTCCGTTTCTTCACCTTCCTCGTTCTCTGCTTCTTCTTCTTAGTCGTCTTCTTCTGTCGTGGACTCGGCTTCTGCCTCCTCTTCTTTTTCTTCTTGTTGGTCGGGGAACGCTATTGGTTCGGGAACGTCGTCAGACGGCACCTCCCCATTATCGTGGTGAGCTGTCCAAAAATCTTCCAGATTAGAGTTGTCGGGGGAGAGCTCGTCCAAATTGAGGAAGTTTCACTCGGTTGGGTCTTGCTAGGATAGGAAATGTCCAACGTCCTTCGTGCAACTTGTCTAGATAACCATTGGCGTTAGCGTCTGTTCCAAAGTTACTAGCTCCGTTTGATTTCACTTGGATTGATGGAGACTATGCTCAGAGGCAGATCATCGCCATTTGCGCCAAGAAGACAAGGATCTCGTTGGCAAAGGTCACTCTCCCTCGTTATGCCACCTCACCAAAAAGAAACCCCGCAAGAAGTCATGCTGTATCTGATGGCCACACTTGCAACAAAAGCAGAGTAATCTCGTCCGGATATACCACTTCCTGATCTTTGTAATAGCTCGCCCAATGGGCCTTCACAGATAGCATGTAGAAACTACCACAAATCCAGTCCAACCACAAGTGTAACAAGGAGAGAAAGGAGGTACCACTATCGAACGGATTTCAAGAGAGAGTTAAGGATCGACCCAAGATCGGCAAGGCGTTGGAAGGTCAGACGGGAGAAACAAAGTGGAGAAGCGATTCATCGGCAAGGAGGATGGAAAGGATGAAGAACAGGGACCAGTGGGACCGGAGGATCCGAGGTACTGGATCGCAGAGAAAGGTGTCGATGCACACCGCGCCCACCACTTGTTCACCTGGCCTAGCCAATAGCTTCCGCCAATCCGTCATTGGTTCACTTCCCCCACTCGTATAGTCTCTCTACCACTTCGCTCCGCCGAGCAGTAACGATACCACAAAGATCGCCATTGAACACGACAATCATCATCACGCCACTTTGCCCCGATTGAGAAAAATGCAAAAATGTTGATGCTTCCAGCAGGATCACCATAGAACCACGATCCGTTGCGATCGTCATTTCCACCGTTTCATACCTAGCCTGCCTGCTAAACAGTTGTGCAAACAACAATAGATCTGGGTTGAGTCGCGGATGAGATATTTGACGAAACTGTAGGGGTGGTCGAGGTTGAAGAAGTCGAGCAGAGATGGCCGGCTCAAGTGTGAAACTCATGGCGACGACAGTGAGCGGAGGTTATCAAAAGAATGAGGGAGGGTCGGATCTTCATCACTGCTAGAGAGAGATGAGAAAGAAGGAGCGGGATAGTCGAGGGAGGAAAGAGGACGAAGGTAGGAAATATAGCGGACGATGGGAAAGGAGCTATAACTCGTGCCTGTCTCAAGAGCAGTGCGCACAGTATTCACCCCATTAGGCTCGAGTTCCACTACGCGAAAGCAGCCAGAAAACTTGGGAGCGAGTTTCCGGTCTCGTGCATATTTACGTAGTTGTACTAGATTCCCTAATTTGTACTGAATTTGAGGACCCGCATTCCCATTTCGGGCCCCGTAGCTGCAAATCTGCCTACCTTGGGCCAATTAGACCAGCACTGATCGCTGTGTTTCTCTCATTGAATTGTGTGTCTGCCGAGATTTTCATTGTTTGCTGAGATTCCATCTGAGTCTGGTTGTGGGTATAATAGTAAATACTGCTGGTTTCCATGTATCTGTCGAGAATGACTGAATGCTTGAATTGAGTAAGACGACCGGACAATTATTGTTGCCGCTGCTAGTAGGTCATGATGATTGCCGCAAGGGGGTTGGTACTAGCAGCAACCGCTCACTGCCGGTACGGCTAGCCGAATGCACGAACTAACAACACAGCTGATTTCTGAAATTTACCACTGAAATAAATACCTTACTGAAGGGAAAAAAAGAAAAAAAGAAAAAAGGAAAAAAAAGGGAAAAAAAAAAAAAAAAACTTACTGAGAATCCTACTTTTGTTGAATCTTCCGAGTCTGCGTGTGGGCGTGTTTGCTGGTCTGAGTTCATGTCTGGGTGCGTAACGGTCTGCGTTTGTGTGAAACCGACAAGGACACTTCCTTGTATGGAAGTCCCACAGGGCCCGTACTTACCTGTGGCCACAACCTTGAGGATGGAAGCGGGGAAACACGTACAGGTGGCAGGAAGAGGCCCGTGATACTTATAGCAGCAGGCGAAAATGTACAAGTGCCAGGAGAGGCCCGCGATACTTATCGCAGCGGGGAAAACACAGAAGAGGTAGGAGTGGGCCCGCAACGCTTAGAATACTGGGGAAGAAAAGTCGATAATGAAAAAGGCCAATAAAATTTGGGTGGTGGAAGAAGTGTCGGGGACTGAAGACCAAGCACGAAGAAGATAGTTTGGGGTCCCGGTACTGGTAGACTGGATCTAGGCGGGTACCAGATCTAGGACTTGTGCCAATAAAGCCCGAGCCCGCGACGACTTTTCCCTCCGAAAGGGGGAGAGATACTGGAAACTGGGGCGCCGTGCGTGCCACATCGGAATTTGTGTGGCACACTCAGAGGCTAGTTGTCATTGATGATTGCATGCTGCCAAAGAGCTGGTTGGAGCAATGCCAACGTAAGTGGGGTTGTCTGATAGGAGGAGGAGGAGGAGAGAGACTAGAACCAGAAAGGTGGACTCACCTGGCTACCATGGACGCTATCTTCATCATCCGGATAGATGCTGCATCTGTGAAAAGGGGCCTCAGTGGGGGGCTGCACCGCGCTGAGAAGGCTTCAGGACAAACCCAAGGCATGGCAACCTCAGCAGCAGCGGACATAGTAGGCCTTGGTAGTCCACCATAGCCTCGGCCTGGTTAAGAAGGAAGGGGAAGTGGAAGCCATGGCTATGGCAGACCTCTAGTTATGACTAATAGCAGAAATCGTCATCGGACATTATTTCTAGTTCAAGCCACTCATCATTAGTACTACTACCTATTGTTTGAATTAATCTGCCTATGTATGCTATTGGTCACAAGGAATATATTAATTGCTTTCATTGTTTCTTCCTTGCTTCCACATCAAAAAGAGTTCCGACAGTTAGGTCGGAATTTGGTCGGAATTTGGTCAGAATTTGGTCGGCATTTGGTCCGGTACCGGACCTCAAAGAGTCTCTCCGCCTAGAACCAGACAATGGTCGACTAAGAGCAAAGCCAAATCTCTATTGCTCACTAGTTTCTCAAACTTCCTGCAATTCTAAAATACTGATGTGGCCCCATTCTCTTGTCAGGAGTTTGGACCGACAGTATGCTAGATTTCATTGGGTGAGTATTGGCGTATTAGCATGAAATCAATCATGCTCTCCTCTTTCGAGTCAATCGTTACGGGGTCTATGAAGGCGCTCACGTTCATTGAATTGCTTTCTTTTCTACATACAATCCACCAACTTCCCACGGTATTGCCATGGTTCTTTGTTTGCAGGGTTTGGCGGTGAAATTCCGGTGAAGTTCCAGAGTGTTTCATTAGTACCACCACACATGTGTCCCCTGCAATTCTAGCATACTGTCGGTCCAACCCCTGACAAGAGAATCGCAGTAAGTTTGAGAAACTAGTCTGCCACAGCCAAAACACCCACTTTACACCCACCCACACACACACACACACACACACACAGAGGGAGA